CAGATCGTGCTCGCGCGTTCGCATTTTCTGCATGCGACATATGCACGACAGTTGTTTGTCGTGCGTTTTGATGGTTGGACCCAACTTCGACTTTCAAGCTGGGCCTGGGTTCCACATACGGTATGCTTACTTCAACTCCGTTCACGTAGCTTGCCTAACTCATGGAGCTTGCCTAGCATAGAATAGCCAGAGACGAGGGATTAGGCTGATGCGGCATAGAAATGAAATGATAATTAGATTGTGTGTGATACTTCGTCGTCGTTGATGCGTAGTGATATTTTCCTCGCGATCACAGAGAACTATTAGAATGAGGAATGGATGATGCCATTGATGTTGGTTGGGGTACATATAACAAACCCTAACTTCTTGTCAAATGTTGTAGCCTGTAGTGAGGTTTGTCTTAGGGGGTACAGAAGTTAGAGTTTGTCATATGTACCCCAACCAACATCAATGCAACACCCATTCCTCATTCTGACATGGTATCAGCTAGGTTAGGATCCTGTGGGATCCCGTTCCTCCGTTCTCCGTTCGTACCTCCCGAGCCTGATCCTACCTCTCGCCCGTTCCCCCCGTCGCGTCGCGCCCGTTCCCCCCGTCGCGTCGCGCCCGTTCCCCCCGTCGCGTCGCGCCTGTTCCCCCCGTCGCGTCGCGCCCGCCTGTTCCCCCCCTGTCCCGTCGCGTCGCCCTGCCCTGTCCCGTCGCCCTGTCCCGTCGCGTCGCCCTGTCCCGTACCGTCGCCCTGTCCCGTCGCGTCGCCCTGTCCCGTCCCGTCGCGTCGCCCTGTCCCGTCGCGTCGCCCTGTCCCGTCCCGTCGCGTCGCCCTGTCCCGTCCCGTCCCGTCGCCCTGTCCCGTCGCGTCGCCCTACCCCGTCGCGTCGCCCTGCCCTGTCCCGTCGCCCTGCTCCGTCGCGCCGCCCTGCCCCGTCGCGTCGCCCTGTCCAGTCGCGTCGCCCTCCCCGTCGCGTCGCTCCCGCCCTTTCCCCCGTCGCGTCGCCCTCCCTAGGCCCTAGCCCGTCGCCCTCCCTAGGCCCTGGCCCGCCGCCCTCCCTAGGCTCTGGACCGTCGCCCTACCCTAGGCCCTGGCCCGTTGCCCTACCCTACGTTTTGGCCCGTCGCCCTAGCCCGCTCTTCCGCTGCGACTGAGTCCTCTTCCCCCCCGGTTATTACTCGCCTGTTCGTTCGCGTTGGTTCTCACTATGGCGACTCCGCGAGTTCTTCGTTTCGACGCTGACGGTAGACCCCTTGACTTTTCCGTCTGGCTTCTTCGCGCTCGCCGTCTGTTAGAGAGTCAGGTCCAGGGGGGCGAGACCCTCTGGTCACACACTACTGGTAACCTCCCCGAGCCCCCCGAGCCTACCGCTTTAGGCCCTGCTCCTGACGACGCTGCTACGGCTCGCTTTGCCCGTCAGCGCGCTGACCGGACGGCTTGGACGTCGCGTGACGCTGCGGCCTGCATCGCACTCAGCAGCCTCCTCCCTGAGTCCGAGGAGGTCCACTTTACTCAGGTTCGCACCGCTGCTGCGTACCTCACTGCGATTAAGGCCCGCTACTCTACTCCCGCTACTGTCTCTCTCGGCCGTCTTTTCCTCCCGTTCCTGTTTCCTGATCTTGCCTCGTTTGAGCGCTCTGCTGACTTGATCGCTCACCTCCGCTCGCTTGACGCTAGTTACCGCGCTGCTTGCACTGAGGCACAGCTTGCACTGCTTCCTCCCCCCATGGCGATTACTGTCTATTTCATCGCCACTAGCCTCCCTGACCGCCTTGCCTCCGTTCGTGACGCGCTTCTGCTGAAGCACCCTAGTGAGCTGACTATCGAGGTCCTTGAGTCTGCACTCAAGGACGTCGAGAGCAACCTTCGTTCGGTAGCTGCCGCCTCTGGTACTGTGTCCCCCCCCACTCTTCCACGGGTGCACAGTCCCGCAGTTACCCACCTTCACTGCCTCTCTTGCCACTGCCGCTACTGACGCGACTGCGGCTGCTGTTACGACTACGTCGCGGTCCCGCGGCAGGGGGGGCAAGAAAGGTGGTTCCGGTGGAGGTGGAGGTGGAGGTAGCGGAGGTAGTGGGGGTGCTGTTGCGACTGGCGGTGGTGGGAGTGCAGCGTCTGGAGAGACCCCTCGTGCAGCGGCTGGTGACTCCACTGCACCTGCTGGTGGCGGCGACCCTCGAGCTCGTCAGTCGCCTCCTGTACTGCCGGCCCCGCTAGGTGGAGCAGCGGCGTGGTACCAGGCTCAGCGTCAGCAGCACCTTCAGCAGCAGCAGCAGCCCCTTTCCTCCCAGCAGCCTCAGCAGCAGCAGCGTCAGCAGCTGGCTCCGGGGTCAGGGCTGCGTCATCCCCAGTGCGGTGCTGCTTACCCTCCCTGCCCCTACCAGGTTCTGACAGGTCCTCGTCGGGGCCACCCTTGTGGCCGCTTTCACCCCCCTGGTCAGTGCTTTGCTCAGCTCACTGACACGGTCCGGTTGACCTACGGGGTTGGCGGTCCTGCTCCTGACTGGCTTC